CACACACACACACACACACACACACACACACACACACACACACACACACAATCAGCTGTTAGCCAAAGAATTGAAACTGGGCGTTAAGATCTGCAGGGTCCTAGAGGTTCACCAGTCTGCAAAAACTATGTCTACAAAAAAGGAACCATTTCAGACCAGTGTTCTTCAATGGAGATTAAATATCATCATCTACAGTCCATGATCTCATCAAAAGAGTTCAAGAAATGATTCTGCAGTCTTACTCGTGATCTTCAGGCCCTGAGTCCACTGCAAAAAAACCTGGTCTGATTCTGTTCTGGACTCAGGAACACGTCTGTAAATACAGTTCATATCATCTGCTGGTTAAAGCTCTATCGTGCAAAGAAGAAGTCACATGTGAACATCTTCTCTGGAACTTTCCTCCTTCTTTCAGCTGCTTCCTTCCTCAAGGGTCACCACAAAGAACTAAGTCGCATGAAGACGTGGCCGTTGTTTTTACGCCGGATGCTTTTCCTGACAAAACCACAGACCACCGAGCTACCACAGCCCTCTGAGTGGAGCAGGGAGCGGCTCCCGGGGGAGCATATGGTGGGGTTGAGGGCCTTGCTCAGGGGCCCAGAATGAGGGAAATGAGGGTGGAGGCAGGTGTGGGTGTTTCACCTTTCCCACCCACATTTTGATGTTGTCGGTCTGGGAAGTCGGATTGGCGACCTTCTGATCACAGGTCCACCTTCTCTAACCTCTGCACCACCACTCCCCCACTCTCTGGACCAAATGTATTTATGATATGATTTTATGATTTAATTCTATTTTATTGAAGAGGTAACTGCATCTGAAGGAATATTTCTCCCTGTAGAAAAACCCGGTCATGGACAATGACAAATGTCTATGAAAGAGGATTTTTGAGGTTTAAAAATAGTCAATTTATTGATGAGTTGCTCCTCAGTCAGCACGTGAAAATATTTGCATCCTGAGAATTCATCTGCACAAACAACGAGTCAGAGATTTTACATTCGTTTTAAAACAAATATTAAAAAGCCTCTGTTTTTAATCATCTTGCAACAATCGTCACCTTCATGGTGTCATTTGGTGGTTTTCTGGAGCTGCTTGTTGCCATTGGTTTGGTAGCTCAGTGGATGCGGGCACAGAGGCGGGACCGAGCGCGCGGTTGGGGGTAGGTGCGGTAAGTGCGGCGTCTGACGCGCGCACGCTGACAGCGGGACGGACACCGCTCAGGAGATGCCCACAAAATGCTGCGTCCACGAGCCGTGACAACCCGCTGGATGTGAAGAGAAGACGGAACCAGAACCAGCACCGGGCTTTTTTTCTGCTGCAGAGAGAGAGCGAGAGAGATCCGGCTCGTGCGCTCCGGCTGCGCATGAATCCGCGCCTTTGCGCTGCTGCAGGTTCTGGACCGAACGAGTGAGAGAGGGCGACCCGGCCCGTGAGCGCACCTCGTCCGCCTCTCTGCGCCTGTCCGTGCACCCCCACCCCCACACACACCCTCGGCGGGTGGCGCCTGCTTCAGGATGGCCTTAACGATCTGCACGCGATTCACCGACGAGTATCAGCTGTTCGAGGAGCTGGGGAAGTAAGGAGACCGTTCTGTTTGGGGGGGGGGGGGGGGGGGGGGGGGGAGCGGTGTGTGGGGGGGGGGGGGGGGGGTGTCCAGTGAACATAGTTATGTAAGAGGTCGCTTTGGGTTTAAAGGACGCGGATTTCGACGTTTCTCTCCCCCCTGCGCGTGTGTGTTTTTCTGCGCGCGCACGCGCCTGGATGCTGCAGGGTGGAGGAGGTTTAAACTCTCTGCCTACAGGCCTGCAGCTGCTTTAATCCCCGCATCCTGCTGCCCACAGGCACGGAGCGTGCACGCTCTGTCGTCATGAACCTCCATCCTGTCTGATGCTGCTTTTGGACACCTGCGGTGCCACAGCCCGGGCGGGTGTGTGTGTGTGTGTGTGTGTGTGTGTGTGTGTGTGTGAGGGGTCCGTTACTTAAAAGCCCAAAAGCCCAAGGTGTGTGTGTGCGCACGCAAGCAAGGGTGAGATTGGAGATTTAGTAACCCAACCCTTCCATCCCCTCCCTGCGTGACAGAAATACACGCGGTGTAAAGCGACAGCTCCTCAGCCCAGAACCGGGTCAGTGATCAGAACCCGGCAGGGAGTTCCTCTCTTCACCTCTGAGAGATGGTTTTTAAAAGTGTGCGTGTGTGTGCATGTGGTCAATGTGCACGCGTCTGCAGAGCAGCTCTGCTCTTGAGGAAGAGTCTTTCTTTACGTTGCATGTACACACCACCATCTGCTACTGTCAAGAAATAATATGTGGCTTAAACATTAGCACTGCAACATTATTTCCCATACTAGAGAAAACTTTGTTTTACAGTCAGTCATAATGATAGAAATCATACACAGATTTACATTATTTTAAAACAATTTAACAATAATTATTTGTATCTTGAGATAAATATTATTGTTATTTTATGGAGAGATTTAACAAAATATCTTGTAAGTCAAAGAAGATTTTATTGAAACGTTCATAAATTGATCATTGGATATACATGTACAACTGATTAACTTTAAAGTTAACCCGATTCAAGGTGGCCGCCACAACTAAATAACACTAGTGCAAAAGTCACTCGGCCAGTTTGACCATTATTGAGCTAAAACTTAGCTAAGCATTATCCCAAGACCACACTGAGTCCAACAGATTGCACAAGATGTGTGTTTACAGGTCTCTGTTGATGTGGTTCACAAAATGTCTTTTTTAATCATATGATTTTTTTTCTTTAGCTAATCCTCAATAAATTAGAGGTCAGCTTCCGTCACAAGCTGCTCATAGAGCATAGATACCATCACGTTGTGCTCATCAGACAGTCCCAACACAGACAGGAAGAAGCATCTATTTTCCATTTTGTGATGCCCATTTATCCCAGTAACACGATAAGCCTGAATACAGCTGTTGTGTTTTAGAAGTGCAGTGTGTCAAACATCAGGGTTGATTTGAGGGAATGATGAATATTCTCAGTTGAATCCTGTCTGGATGAGCTGTGGTAAATACTAAAGCTGCTGCAGAGCTGAGCACGCTCGAGGCAGGTGGCTCTTTCTCCATTAGGCGCTTCTGCTTTTACCTCAAATATAGACGACCCAGTTTTTTGATCTTCACCAACGTCCCTGACACACCTGAACAACACGCAGCTGAAAGAATTATAAGGCTGGTTGACACTTCTTGTGCAGAGGTTTTGGACAAAGCGTGCTGTAAATGCAGTGAGGGGCTATACTGCATAGCTTCTGCAGCAATAGCTTTAAGTCCAGATGACCCGACTGAGAATTATTGGATTTGGTACCTGGATGATTGAGCATGAACTTCTTTAATTCAGTTTCATGGAGAAATTTTTACTCAGTGTCTACTTAATGAAAAATTAACAAATGTTACTGAAAAAAGCTGATTAAAAACAAGCCCATGTTAAAAAAAGTCAGGACAACGTGACCATCTCATATGTTTAATAAAAAGCACCATTTGAAAGAATGGTCATTTTGAACTTGACGGCATCCACACATCCCAAAGAAATAAAGACAGGGCCATGTTTCGACTGTGACACACCCTGTCCTTTTTTTAACCACAGTCTGTAAACATCCAGGAACTAAGGAGACCAGCTGCTGGAAGTTTTGTAGGACAATGTTGTCCCAGCTGTATTTTTCACTTCATGATGCATCAAATATTCTGAATTGGTGAAAGGTCTGGACTGCAGACAGGCCACTTCAGAACCTGAACCTTGTGGGCATCTCCTGCTGTAATGGATGCAGACTCTGTTTAGCAATGTCTGGATGACATATGCAAGGCCTTCCCTGAAAAAGATGTCAGGGTGTGTCAGCACATGTGTATACTTTTCTGCAATGATGGAGCCTTTCCAGATGTTCAAGCTGCCCATGCTGGAGGCACTAACGTGCCCCATACCATCAGAGAGGCATGTTTTTGAACTGTGGGCTGATAACAGACTGGATGGTCACACTACTCTTTAGTATAGACGACATGCCGCCCATGGTTTTTAAAACAATTAAAACATTTTGATTTGTCTGACCACAGAATGGAGAACCAGTGGGTGTGCTCCAATTACGGGCATCACGCTTCTTAGCCTCCCTGGTAAGATCTATTCAGGGGTACTGGAGACGCGAGTCCAATCAATGGTCGAACCTCGGATCCAGGAGGAACAATGCTGGTTCTGTCCTGGCTGTGGAACACTGGACCAGCTCTTTATTCTCACTAGTGTCCTCAATGGGTCATGGGAGTTTGCCCATCCAGTCTGCATGTGTTTTGTGGACTTGGAGAAGGCGTTTGACTGTGTTCCTCGGGGTACACTGTGGGAGGTGTTTCTTGAGTATGGGATTGGGGGCCTGTTGCTACGGGCGGTTTGGTCCCTATGTTTGATTTCCATTGCTGGCAGTAAATCGTACCCCTCCAGGGTAGTAGCTGGACACCACCGGGCTGCCCATTGTCACTGATTCTGTTTATATCTTTCATGGATGAATTTCTCAGTGCAGCCATAGTTGGATGGAAATCCGATTCACTGGCCTTAGGATTTCATCTCTGACGTGGTCCTGTTGGCGTCATCGTGCCGTGATCTCCAGCTCTCACTGGAGCGGTTCGCAGCTGAGTATGAAGCAGCTAGAATAAAGATCAGAACCTCCAGATCTGAGGTCATGGTTCTCAATTGAAAAAGAGTAGATTGCCCTCTCCGGGTTGGGAGTGAGGTCTTGCATCCGTCAAGTGGAGGCGTTCAAGTATCTCCAGGTTTTGTTCATGACTGAGGGAAGAATGGAGTGGATCGGTGCAGCCTGTACTGGTCCTTTGTGATGAAGAGGGCTATGAGCTCTAAGGGGAAGCTCTTTGTTTACCATTCTGTCTATGTTCTTACCCTCACCTATGGCCACAAACTCAAGGTAGTGACCAAAAGAACGACATCACAGTTACAGGAAAATGAAACAGGTTTGAAACAGTTTGAAACAGTTTGAAACAGGGTAGCTGGACTCTCCCTTAGATATAGTGTGAGAAGTTCAGTTGTCAGGGAGACACTCGGAGTAGAACCACTGCTCCTCCACATCCAGAGGAGCCAGTTGAGGTGGTTCAGGAACCTGGTAAGGATGCCCCTCACCGTAACCCTCCATAGGGAGGTGCTCCGGGCATATCCAACTGGGAGAAGACTCCAAAAAATACGCCTTGGAGTTCTCCCAGAACAACTAGAAGAGGTGGCTGGAGAAAGAGATGTCTGGGCCTTAAGCTGCTGCCCCAATACCTGACTCCAGAACAAGCAGAAGATAGTGGATGGATGTCATGAAATCCATAAAATTCAAATTTGACCACATTTTTTTGGTCCAAAATTTTATTTGAAGTAGTTTGTTTCTCGTTATGAATAAAATGTGGGTTCATGAGATTTACATGCACATCACATTCTATTTCTTTTACAATTTACACACTGTTCCTACTTTTTTTTGGAACTGGGTTATAGAAGCTCAGACATTTTTCAGCCTGAAGTACCTCGTTGTCATTTTTTTACCCCACCAGGCTTTTTAAACAGAACTCAGATTTTCTAAACTACCTTTGAAATGCTCACAGTCGACCTTTTTGCTAAAATGACATCATTAAATATTTCACGTGTTTGTGTTCAATTCAAGGGGAGCATTCTCTGTGGTCAGGAGGTGTGTGAAGATCTCCTCTGGACAGGAGTATGCTGCCAAAATCATCAACACCAAGAAGCTTTCTGCAAGAGGTAGGAAACACACACATGTAAACACACTATACATGAGCTCAAAGAACAACAAAGCCCTGGTTGTCGCAGAGCGTTACATGCTGATGAGCTCTGAAATGGGCTTCAGGCTCCGTGCACCAGGCATTCAATGTCAGCGACAGACAGACTCCTTTGCACTTGTGGTGTTCTGTTTTCCCTCCTTTTTCGTGTTATTCATATTCATCCTTTTTGTTTCTATGCAAATGTTAGTCACACACAACCTTGTTAGTGTGTGTTCTGTCTTGATTCAGGGCTCTGGCTGGTCTTGTCGTCCCAGGGACAGATCTCTTGAGAAGCCGACCCAGTTCTTTCACATCCGTCATTGTAATTGTAGCCGCTGGCCTGGTTGCCTCAGGCTTGGGACACACACACATATTCATACTGTAGCTCATGAAGACACACTCAACAAACGTGCACGCACAAGCACAGATGTGACCCAGCCTATTTGTTAATACGAACCAGTTGTGTGTTGCGCTTCTAAGGTTTTCTACATTCCTCCCACATTTATATATATATATATATATATTTATAT